CATGCCGGCTGGCTAGGTCGCTCCGTAAGTAAGGCTTTTCCCTATTAAATACCCTTATGTTTCTACCTGACTTCATATTGGTATTTTCCCACTATAGTTGACCAGGAAACAGTCTTTGAAAAGGTGATTCTATGAGTCTGATTAGATATTCCACAAGGAGGCAACAACAGGCCAGGAGGCTGGAGCAGGGAAAGGCTTAGGAGCATGGGTACCGCCTACCCTCAGTTCCCTGACATCCACCCTCTCAGGCTGTGGGAAAGGAAGAAGGCAATGCTGGAAGCTGCTCCTTGGATGAACCTTTTGGAAGGTTCCAAGCTGGAAGAATGCTTTTTTTGCCCTCTGGTTTATCATATTAACTCTGTCTCCAGGAGGAAACTGGGAGAAGAGCTAGAGAACCACTGTTACAGAAAATGAAATAAAATAAAAAAGAAAAAAAGAAAGAAAAAGGAAAGGAAGGGGTGGCTGATACGTGGAATCCCAGAAACTGAGGAGAGCCTGGGCATATCCACCATTCATAGTCACCACTGGAAACTTTTGACCTGCCTGAACTTTTGAGTCTCCATGGACACTGTCAGTACAGGAGTTCTAGAACTTTCCATCATGTGCTAGTCCCTGGGTACAGCTGTGGACTCCAGCAATCTGTATCTGAGGGTTTTGAAGACCTGTTTCCTGGCATGTGTGGGCCTGGTATTTTAGCAGTCTAGAATAGTGCAGTTACCTGTGTCACAGAGGGTGGAGGGACTCATCCAAAAGTCTCAGGGTTAAAGTTTCTGGTAACCTGGGGTTTTGTGTGGTTCACCACCAGGGGGTGCTGTGTCACGTGTTACTTTGAGTAAGCAGTCTGCTTAAGGAGAATCTGGTCTCCAGATTAGCCACTTTCTTTTTGAAATTTGTGTTTCTGGGATTTTGGAAGCTAATTCTCAGCTCAGAAAGGTGTGCCTATGGCATGCTTAATAATTAGAGTAATAAAAGAAATCACAAAAAAAAATTAGGGATTGGAAGAGATTGACAGTGGGAATACCAGCAAATATAGAAAACGATATTATTTTATTGGATGGTCCAAATTCCACCCCATCATAATGTTCTCCTACTGTATTTTTTGACCACTTGATCACAGATTCAAGTGACACATCTGAAGCTATCTATTTTATATTGAGAGAAACAGTGTCATTTTACTTTCTCCGTTATCATAATTGGATGGATTTTTAAAATGGTGGTCTCAAAATTTTGTTTTGGCTTTTTGTATTGCCATTTAAAATTCTAGTTTTGGGGCTGGAGAGTTGGCTTAGGGCTTAAGAATACTGATTGCTGATCAAGAGGACCTGGATTCAGTTCCCAGACCCCACGGCTGGTGGTTCACAACTGCCTGTAACTCAAGTTCCAGGGGATCTGATGTCCTCTTCTGATCTCCTTGGACCTGGGCATGCATGTGGTGCACATAAAGACAAATGTGTGGGCATGTGTGTGCACAGGTAAAAATAAATTAAAAATGTAAAAAAAAATCTAATTGGAGAGGCTCAGGAGCATGAGTGAATTCCAGACATTGGGCATTGAGGTATTTACACTGTTGGGTTTGGTTTTGCTTGGTTCATATTGTGACGGTGCCCTGGTTCTTCTCTCTTGAAGTGAGGAAAATATTTAATTTGTTTTTTATTTTACAAGAGCCCACAATTGAGAGACTTTGAATTTTAAATGACTTTGGATTTTAAAAGAGACTGGCTATTTTAAAGATACTGAGTGTTTTTTAAAAAACTGTGGGACTTTTAAAATTTGGAATGTTTAAAGGGTAATGTTGATGATAATGTATGATCTTGGGGAAGAACAAGAATGGAAAGTTTATAGCTCAACAGTAATGTGTTTGTGGGCCAAGTTGACAAGGGATCAGTTGTGCTGGCTATTTTTATGTCAACTTAACACAAACTAGAGTTATGTGAAAGGAAGGAACTTCAAATGAGAAATGCCTCCATAAGATCTGGATGTAGGGCAATTTTTAAATTAGTGATCGATGGCGGAAGGCCCAGCCTATTGTGGGTGGTTCTGTGCCTGGGCTGGTGGTCCAGGGTTCTTTAAGAAAGCAGACTGAGTCGAGCGTTGGTGGTGTATGCCTTTAATCCCAGCACTCAGGAGGTAGAGGCAGGCAAATCTCTGTGAGTTTGGGGCCAGCCTGGTCTCCAGAGCGAGACCCTGTCTCAAAAAACAAAACAAAACAGCAACAATAAAAAAGAAAGCAGACTGGGAAAATCATGGGGTGCAAGCCAGTAAGCAGCACTCCTCCGTGGCCTCTGCATCAACTCCTGTATCCAGCATCCTGCCCTGTTTGAGTTCTTGCCCTGACTTTCTTCAATGGTAAGTCAAATAAACCCTTTCCTCCCCAACTTGCTTTTGGTCATGGTGTTTCATCACAGCAGTAGAAACCCAACCTCCAAACTGTCTGTTCTTGCTTCTCCCGGTGTAGCAGTAAAGAAGTTTTATTAGTCATTGTCTTAAATGACTAATTAGATTACTAGTCACCTTGAATTTAATCCCGGCTCTGCTACCTCCTGAGTTGGGGACATGGAGTCAGGTCTTGTCCTCTCTGAGTCTTAGTTTCTCCATGTGCAAAATTAACACCACTGAGCAACAGCTCAAAAGTACTCGAGAAACACTGGCACCTGGTATGGTTGTGGCACCTTTAACCCCAGCAGCACTTGGGAGGCTGAGGTAGGTGGATCTCTGAGTTCCAGGCCAGTCTGGTCTACATAGTTTCAGGGCTACATAGTGAGACCCTGTCTAAAACAGAAAAGGGAAACTGGCTGTTCTGCTCATCTGTTTATCCATCTGTCTATCTGCTTATCTTCCTGTCTGTCAATCTATCCAGAATCTATCTATCCATCTGTCCATCCGTTACCTGCCTGTCATTATATCCATTTATCTACTGTCTCAGTTACTTTACAGTTGCTGTCATACAACATCACAACCAAAGCAGCTTATAGAAAAAGGCATTTAATTGGTAGCTCCCTTATGGTTTCAGAGGGTGAGTCTCTGACCATCATGCCAGAGAGCATGACGGCAGGCAGGTATGGCACTAGGGCTTTAGCTGACAGCTCACATCTGACCTGCAGGCATGAGGCAGAGAGAAAGAGAGACACTGGGCCTGAAGTGGACTTTTGAAACCTCAAAGCCCATCCCCAGTGAAACATCTTCCCTAACAAGGCCACACCTCTGAATCCTAACAGTTCTATCAACTGGAGACCAAGCATTCACATATATGAGCTTATAGTAGCCATTCTCACTGAAATCACACACTATACCTGATCACTACAACTGGTTACCAAGGTGACCACACTCCAATTGACTAATGCAGTGAACACAACAGCTGACCACTGCTGTTCATCACAACAGCCAGCACAGTTGGCCATCATAGCTGACCATCGAAATGATCACCACAGCTGACCATTACAATGAACACTAAAACTGCCCGCCATGGTGACCACTATGACTGATCACCTTAACGGCCAGCACAGTAACTGCTATGGCTGACTTTCACAGTGAAAAACACTATAACTAACCACCACAATGACCACTATGACTTACTGTCAAAGTGAACATTACAACTGACACCATACACCACAGTGATCACTACACTGATGATCAAAGTGAACACTACAACAAATACCACACCTGACCTCCGTAGATGACTATCTGCCTCCCAGGGCACAGCCCCACTGCCCTCTCTCATGGCCCCATGTTTTCCAGGAAAGACAAGTCAATTCTCATACAACGTTAGGGGAAGGCACCGAGACTCCAGAGACACAGCATTGCTGATGACTCTGGTCCAGCAGCTATGAGTGGTGTGACCCAGTCTCCAATGTAGGCTAACTAGGAAGGGCACCTGCATTTGCCATCCTCTCTGCCAGGAATTCACTGTCCTCAAGTTTCCTTCACAACCTCTTGAGCAGCTAATTCACCAGGGGAGCTGACAAAGGCAGACTGACAATAAGGACATTATCACACAGGTGAGACCTGCCTGCTATGACATGGTGAGAAAACCATCAGGTGCTGGGGAGAGGTCATCTGAGGAGAGGACATCTGATCTAGCAGGAAGGGGCCTAATAGGACAGCAAGTGTAAAGGTCCTGTGCCAGCACATGTAAGGGGCTGCAAGGAGACTGAGCAGCTGACTCGGAGCCAAAGGAGAAGGAGGGGGTGGTGGGTTTAGGAGATGGGATGATACTCCAGCAGGCAGTGCTGAGATCAGGAGTGTGCCCAGTGTAGGATAGGATATAGGCAAAATGGAAGCAGGCATATGCTAATTTGACTCTCAGTGCCACAACTTGCTGAAGAATGGCTGGGCCCTCCCTCATCCATCACTAATTAAGAAAATGCTGGATCTTTTCTTTTTCTTTCTTTTTTTTTAGAACAACTCAGCAAAATAAAATTCTTGTTTATTGTTGGACGTTGTTTCACACATACATCAACAGGCCAAAAAATAAAAAATAAAACAGCAACTTCATAGACAAAAAAAAAAAAAGGAAGGAAAAAAAGAAACCTTTTATCTTTGGCCTTTTTAACCATCTCATACAAACCAACTACTTATAATACAGCTAGGTACATACACAAAAAAAGTTACTGGAATGCTCGGAATAAGATTTTTTTTTTTTTTTTGGTTGTTGTTTTTGTTTTTTTTACAAGGTTTTTTTTTTTTTCTCCTTTGAGATTATAATGAACATGGTCACACCACAAGTAAGGTCAGAAGTAGGACAGAAAACGCTCTGAAGGCTGGTTTGGTCACCCGTTATCATTAAAAATGGCTGACCCCCTAACAATATGTACAAAAATATAAAATGTAAATAAAAAATACAAACCAATTTTCCTTTTAAAGTATTTTTAAGAAAAAAAGCAGGGCCTTGGAAGTTTTGGTTCTTTTTCTCTCCCCTGTTGCAAATTCATGGTGTGGTTTTGGTGGGGTGGTGGAGAGAGCATGTCATCTGTGGGTGGCACTCCCCGCTAAGGGCAGGGCCTGCTCCTCTACTCCAAGGCGACCACGTTTAAATTCTGAGACGGGAAGTGGAGGGTGAATAGGTCACGGTGGCCTTAAGTTTAGCTTTTCCTTTCTGCTGTCCAGTTATCCTCACCGGTCTTCTGCTTCTTGGTGTCAACATCATCATCCTCATCATCTTCAGCTACCCGCTTGCCCGTAGGAGCCTCAGCTTCCTCCTCTTCATCTCCATCTTCTTCCTCACCGTCGCCTTCTTCCTCCTCCTCCTCTTACTCCCCACCTTCTTGCTCTTCTTCATCTACCTCATTGTCAGCCTCCTGCTCCCCATTTTCCTCATTAGCATTCCCATTGGCAGGTGCGTCTCTTCCGTTCTCTGCCTCCTCCACAACTTCCTTCTTCTCCTTTAAGTCCTTGGTGGTGATCTCGGAGCTGGTGTCCACGGCCGCGTCTGACATGGTGGGGCACGCCGGTGATGCGCTGCAGCAAGGGAGGCGAGAAATCGAGCTCGAGGACTCTGGCGAGAGAGGGATTCCGCTGCAGAAGAGGAGGAGGAGGAGGAGGCGGCAGGCAGGCGGCGAAGGCAGCTGCAGCTAGTGCGGAGCAGGACCCGGGAACAATGCAAAGATGGCTTTTCAGAGCAGCCAGTGAGGGCTGTATCTTTTCTTTTAAAGATTTTATTTATTTTGTATACAACATTCTGCTTCCATGCACATCTGAACTCAGGACCTCTGGAAGAGCAGCCAGTGCTCTTAACCTCTGAGCCATCTCTGCAGCCCCAAGAAAATGCTGGATCTTATGGAGGTATTTTCTCAATTCAACTTTCCCCCTTTGCAATGACTCTAGCATGTAAGAAGTTGACATAAACTAGACAGGACACCTGATATTCTGTCCACTTTGGTATCATTGGATCCAGTTTCTGAAGGGTTATGAACTTTGAGAAGAGTCACTGTCGTCTTCCGTTTTGTGCCTCTGTTGATATTTGTGCATCTTTGGGAATGGATACTTTTTTCCACTTAAATTTATTTTATTGTATTATTTGTTTTAAAGAGGATGGATGGTTTGAGTGCATATATGTATGTGCACCATGGTATATCTGGTGCCTGAGGACAGAAGAGGCCTTTGACTCCCCTGAGACTTGAGTTAGAAACAGTTGTGGACCTCACGAGGGTGCTGAGAATTGAACCCATGTCTCCTGGAAGAGCAGCCGATGCTCTTAACCACCAAGTCATCTCTCTAGTCTCTCTTCCATTTTTAAACAAGGATGCTCTTAGCAAGCAGCATTCTCTTGAGGGCCCAATTCCAAGGACTATTCAGGAGAGAAAACAAGCTACAGCCACACCATCAAATCAAACCATATGTATGAATACAATAAAACGCAGTTAACAGAGTCAGGCGGTGGTGGCACATGCCTTTGACCCTAGCACTTAGGAGGCAGAGGCAGGTGGATCCCTGTAAGTTCAAGACCAACCTGGTCTACAGAGTTAGTGCCAGGACAGCCAAGGCTACTCAGAGAACCCTGTCTCTAAATAAATAAATACATAAATAAATAAAATAGAAAAACCTCCAAAAATGCAGTTAACAGACACATATAGAATACACTGAGAGATATAAATTTAATAAAGGTAAAATAATAATAAAATACTTAAATTGGATAAAAGGGAAATATGGGAAATGGAATAAGAAAAAAAAGCCAGATTTTTTAATTCTTTAATTACTACTCATATTTACATATCCACCCCCCCTTTCCTTGCCCTCCCATCCTCCCATGTTCCCCACCAACCCCCCCAACCCATCCCCCAACTCCTCCCCAGGGATAGTGAGGCCCTCCACAGGGGACCTTCAAAGTCCATCTTAACATTCGGGGGAGGGCCTAGGCCCTCCTTGCTGTATCTGGGCTGCAATAGTATCCCCCCATAGGGAATGGGCTCCTATAGTCCATTTGTGCTCTACGGATAAACTATGGGACCTCTAACAGTGGAGCCAGTGTTTATCCGTAGAACAGCCAGATTTTTAAAAAGGAAAACATATTAGAAAGAGCAAGAGACAAGAAAGAGATGAAAAAAGTAAAAAGACTAAAAATAAGAAAATTTGGGATCAGTGTGGAGTAAGAAAGAGAAAGAAGTTAGTAACATTTGGATCAGCAAGGCCTCTTTCCTGTTCTTTTGTTCTCACTAGTTGGTGCTATATTTGTGCTGAGGGCTGTTGGGCTGGTCGAGGGGTCAGTGGTACATGGTGGAGGCACAGCTCCATACTGTCACCCTGTTCAGCCCAAGCTGAGTTCATTTAATCCTTTAGGGAACTTGGCTCAGGCAAACCAGGATTTTGTTTTTTTTTTTTTTAATTTCAAAGCAGAAAAGATTTTAGGACTAGCCAGTATGAATAAGACTCAGGCTTTTATTACAAGTACAAAGAAAAGCACTTAAGGAAAGAATCATACCCACAGGCCAGGGGGGCAGCTCAGAGGGCAAAGCACTTGCTGTGCAAGGATGGGAATCTAAGTTTGATTCTCCAGACCCACATAAA